GCCAAAGAACTCGTTTTTAATAATATTTCTCTCTTTCTCATCATTTACACAGCACACCACATAAATACTTATACATGTGATCGTTTTACAAACTCTGATCATTCTGCCAACCGACCGACTGACTGACTGAATAAGCCAAAGTAATAATGTTGAAGTGGTAGGTAAAATAAAGTAAAGTAAAATGATGTGAAGCACACATAGAACGGAGGAGAGTAAATTGATTTAAATTATGGGTTATAAAGTGAAGTTTTGATCGTTGTTGTGGCTCAAAACATTTCCATGATGATTGTCGATTAAAGAAGGCACATATTTTGAAGCATCCTCGATCGTCATCATCATTTTATTTCTGATACTTTTTGATGTAAATTTTATGGCTTTTCATTTTCATCTTTAAGTCTTCTCTTCAATTTCTTTTTCCATTCTTTAGTCCAGAAAATATATAATGCCTTAAAGCGGAAATAATCAATTTAACCATGCGACTTTTTGTTGTGATGAGACTCAAATAAACACTTTTTGATGAAACATCTACCTCACGTCAATGTGATTTCTTTAATGAGATAAAAGAAGAACAAGCAGGTCTAAAAATGATCTTTAAATGGCATTCAATTAATTTTGTTAATCACTGTTTAGCTCCTTCGTTCTTTTGCTATTATATCCATTTCCGAAATCGTTTTTTCAATTTGAGAATGCGTCATAAAACATGAAAAATTGAACCTCGTAAAAAATTCATTTGTAATGCATCTCCATTCTTAACTTTTCTCTTTCCTTTCGACGAGAACATTATTAGATTTTTGAAATATGTATTTTCATAGTTTTTTGAATAGCTCACTTCCGCTTGTAACATAGAAGTTTTTTCCAACATGTGGTAACATGGATTAAAAGTTTTAAAAAGCAATAAAAAATTTAAATGCTCATTCTCATGTTGTTATTTATTATTCGATTAATGCTATGTTGCCAAACATTTTTGCTGCATGCTGCGTGTTTTATGATTATTTCAGATTGACATTAAATAAAATTTATTGTATTTATGCTTAGTGAATTAATGACAAAAGAATTCTTTTCGAAAGAAATCAGTTCAGCATGAAACCTTATTGTGAAATACTTGTTGAAATTTATCTTATTGTTGTAACGATTTGCGAGGCAATAAATATCGTAATTTACTTTTGTTGTATATTGGAATATAAAATCTTAGCGTTAAAAACACTTTGATTTTATTTTCTAATTTTATTGATTTAAACTTTAAAGGATTTATAATGTGTTTTTGTGAAAAATTATGTAATCGGTAAAGAGTTTAAAAAAATCAATCTTTTGTGAAACAGCTTTTTTGATCAAACCTTTTCAGTTAAAAAGCGAACTCTCTACAGAATCTTAACTTACAAAAAATACTTAATCAGCAGATAAAAAGCTGAAATTGAGAGGAAAAGCACAGAAATTAAAATTATGAATGAGGAAGTTTAATATAAAAAGTTTGAAGTTTTAAATGGAAAAAAGTGAGCAAAAACAATCATGAATTTTAAAAGTTTTAATTTTAATTTAAAATATGCTTTTCAGCAACGTAAATTATGTCAGAAAAATGTACTTAAACATTTTAGTTTTGTTAAAAGCCCTCCAGGAATTTTTTTTTCTTGTTTCCATTCCGTATTTTATCTCAAATTAGTCAACAAAAATTGACATAATTTATAATTTGACCAAAAACAAGTTTCTAATGACACAGAATTCACAACTTAAATTGGTAGCCTGAAACTCATTCATTATTCATAATCTAAATAATTTGAACCACAATGATTCATATGATAATGAATTTAAGGTATAATTTTAAGTTCTTTGTGCTGAGTTTTTGGAATTTGGATGAGATTTTATTGTTTAATGAACGAGAATTGAATTTTTTTTGGCTGAATATGCTTAAGTTGAATTTAATGCTTATTGTGTCGAGTAATTTTCTGATAATTATTTTTGAAGGTCATTTATATATGAAGACTATCAAAAAATGAAGCTTTAAGACCTTTTGCTCCTTTGCTGCCTATGAATGACTCAGAAAATGCGTCATAGTTCCACCTAAAACAAATCCCCCATACTTTTTGATCTAATCTCTCACAAAAGTAATAATACACCTTTAAAAGAACTGCCGAAATCAACGACATTTCCAAGAAACCAAACTTTTTCATTATTTCAACGAAATACATAAAGAATCAGCATACGAACGATCATTAAAACAATTTAGTTCTTCCGTTCAGTTTGACGTTCGGCCTTCTTTCATCTGATGACTACTTTCTGTGCTAATGATCAGTTTACTTTAAGATTTTCATTTTTTTGTGTGAATTTTATTATTATTATTATTTTTGCAATGGAATTCGCCCAATCAATGAGTTTGTGCCACTTCTGCCGAGTTTGAACAATTGTTAAAAACTTTTCCCATTTAATAAATTGAGAAGTAATTACAATTTCATGAACTAAAATTACATTTTATTGAACACTAATTGAAACTGATGGAGTGAGTAGAGAAAACCAACAAAAGCTCATCTTGAAATTATTTCCGCTCAAATTACTCCCTTTTGTGCTGAATTTTACAGCACATAAAATGTTATGATGTAAAAAATTGAGAATGAATTTTTTAAATATAATTTTAAATGTAATTTTTTGAATATTTTATGGGGGTCTTAATTAAATGATGTGTAGTATTTGCTGATCCCTACGTTCTCTTAATGTTGGATGCAATTAGTGAATGGATCAGGCTGCATTTTTGTCTTTCAAAAAAAAAAGAAAGAAAATATTCGCTTTAAAAGCAAAAATGAACAACATAAGTTCTTCAATCTATAAGTCAATTTAATGTTCAGCTCTGAAAACTCCACCCAAATTAAATTCATTATTTTCTAGATTCTATAAAACTTTGTAGCTTGCAAAAAAATTGATTTTGATTGTTTCAGATTGTTTTACAAAAATATAAAAAAACATTAATAAACATTTCAATAGCTTTCAAAACATTCAAAAATTCCGTAAAACTTATTCTATTAATTTTTGGACAAAAAAGATTACAGAACCAAAAAAATGCTGCATTAATTGAATTTTAAAGCTAATCCCTAAATCCCAAAAAATCAACACAGAAAAGAATTAATTTTCTCCATGACACCTCGAAAAAAAAACAGCTATCATCTGATCCTTTATCAATCAGATTGAACGTGAAAGGCATTTTTTTCAGTTTCGAAACATTAAATCCAATCATCCAGTTACCCAATACATTACGATACAGCATATTTTATCTTGTAAAGAAAAGAACTGCACATAAATAAAAGTTTATCATGTGTTGAAGATAATCAATTTAAGCTTGAAACTTTTCAAGCATGAAAAAGTTTATCGTTCATATAGCGCCAATTCACTCAGCCCACCTAACAAAACTGACAATGTTTATATGTTTTTGTATCTATCAATTAAAAACATTTAGATTGTAAGTGGTTACAACAGTATCTGGGTTTGTGTATACACATATAATTTTATCATTATTGCTCTCTGACTTGCTCGTAAAGATTCGTATGAGAAGAAGAAAATAGAAACATTTTACATATGAAAACACACAAATATGCCTAATGATTGTTCATATTCACAAAATGTGTGTAGTATGTTAACTTGAATTTATGATGATTTCTGTCCAATTTTAATAGTAACATCGACTGAGTCTATTTATGATAACATGTTCAGTATGTTGAAATAAAATTATGTTTTTGTTATGTCTGCATAGAGATAGACGTGAGAAGAGGAAGTAAATCTGGGTAGATAAATAATTGAGTCTTGATATGTAATTTTAGGATGATCTATTTTGATTAGACTCGTTGGAAAATGATGACAAGTTTGTAGATTTAAATGTATCCACAATCGCAGTATTCATTGAATTATCATCAACTCACAAAACTTTTATTTTTAAAGCAAAACGGAACTTAAGAATCATTGTTTAAACTTTGTATCATTTACAAAATAAGTTTTTTACATTCACAACTTTGAACTCTTCAAAAATAAACAAAACTCAAGAGAAGCCAGTCAAAACTTGTAAGGTAAACTTTAAATTGTTTTTCATTTCTTCTTGCTTTTGTAAATTCATAATTTTTGTGCAAATTTTTGAATTTAATCTCATAAGATTGTCATATTCCATTCCATTATTTGTTATTGAGTAACGGCTCTATGTCAATATAATGAAAAACCCCACCAAGCTCCTGACTTCCTCATTCCAAACAAAAAGTTCCAAAAATGCAAAAATTAAACAAATTTGTCAAAACAGTAAAAACAGAGATCAAAATTACGTTTAAAAATTTGCATGTTAAACAGCATGTACAATTTCATTCCAACCAGCCTGGATGAATAAAATAAAAATAATATTTTTATGTTGAAAGCAAAAAAAAAATGTTTGACCGGAGTAAGAGTAGCAATTTTCTACACTCATGCACTGCCTTTTCAGCTCTGAATCACTAAATAGAATGAAAACTGTTTTTTTTCTTCAAAAAAAAAAGAAAAATTTATTCAACCATGTAAGTAAATTTGTTAAGCAACATAACATAAAAGAGCACATACGGGAGGGAATGGAATAGAGAGATAGAAATATAATGATGTCAGAAAATGTTAAAGGAGCAACAGTTCATTTGTACAAGAGGCAAAAAACACACAGTAAAAATTAAAATAAAAAAACATACAAAAATGAGTTGAAAATACACAGAAAAATAAAGCAGAGAAGCAGAATAAGAGGAATAAAGAAAAAAAAAGAATAGAAAGAGAGAAATATGAAACCCACCCAGCAAAAGCAATTATGCAAATTTTTCCTAATTCATTATTCTACACATTTTCATATTTATTCTTATTCATTTACATTTATTCACTCATTTCTTTTATTTTTTGATTTATTCACAGACGGAAATTCAATTAACATAAATAGACGCCTTTTGAATCATTTAGTGTAACCCACGCACGTACCAAGCAAGTAAGAAGAAAATCCAAATGCAGCCTGTAGTCATGTTAACATGGAATCATCGCAGTTCATAAATCAAACGCGTCTGTCAAAGAAGCAGCTGCAATTGCATGTGCAACAGCAACAACAAAATCAAAATAAATATTTTCTTGACAGTACACACGATAATAATTATCATATTCAGCAGCAACAGCAACGATGTCAATATTATCCATCCACATCTCCAATACCTCATTTTCCAGGACCTCCAATGTCAATAGATTATCCACAAAATGCTCAATGCATCTTCGAACAACCTCAACAACAGCAACATTCACAGAAAATATCAAGTCCAACTCATCGACTAGCCAGCATAAAGAAATTTCATCAATCAGATCCCAATAGCATTGAAGTATGTATTGATTATGAGAATCATCATAACAATGTAGGCGTTGTTGGCAGTAGTAAGGCATCATCGGTAAGTATCAGTACTGATTTCACTTGAAAATAATTTTGCTGTTACTTTACTTCCATTTCTCATATTCTTTTAATAAATTATGAGAATGATGAATATTGAATAATATCAATTTACAATAGATGGAACATTACGAGCTCTTTTTCTGCTTTGTTGTGCTCTACTCAGCTGTATGTTTGATTAATTTTCCATCTTTTTCTTTTTTTCCCTCACTTGCCTTTTGTTACATACTTGTAGAGGTTCTTCGAAATGAACTCCCGAAATGGGAATTTTCGTGTTCTTTTGATTGAAAAATTTCAATTGGATTTGAAGTAGATTGAATTTTTGTCTGCTTTTTGTTATGAAAGAAATCTGATTAGCTTGTTTTCATCAATATTTTCTTAAGTGAAAAGATTCTTCTTTATCAGATTACGATAACAAAGACTTGTTCAGATTTGTTTTTAAGAAATATGAGAGTACTTATATAAATGGAGGTTTAAATTATTAAATTTTGTTGAATAATTTATTCTATTGTTCATTTTTCTAGTTATTGATTTGATTATATAATCATTAATAATTGATTTAATTAAATTTCGAATGAAAACAAGCCGACAAGTTCAATTCTTAAAACATTCAAAACTTTAGAACAGACAATTCAGAAACTCTAGCTCAATTTTACAACCCAGCAGTTTTAAATCTACTAATCTCATCTCAACCGCTATAATTCTCTTCGTTTCCTTCAAATCCATCTATAAATTGCAACATATTCCCTTATTTGATCTCTTCCCATATTAAATGAACTAAAAGAAGCAAAACAAGAAAGTTAAAAGAGTAGAAAGAACCATCCAAGGTCAGAAAAGAAAGCAAATGTCGCTTCTAAATCACTTTACACTAAACGATTGCCATTTGTCAGATGTTAATGTCTTACATTTAACGTTTCGTAACAAAAAGAAAATCAAACGCATACAGTCATACAGTCAGACTTGTTGTGGCTCTCCTCCACGAAATAAGAACTGACTTTTGAGAAGGGAACTATGCATGTAGTATATCAAGATGAAGCAAATGCGAAAAAATAGAAGGAGAAAAAAAAATACGGTAATTTATTGAGTTAGTTGCCTGCGGGTTGTACGATGATGTTTTTCAATTTACCTTCTCTTAAGTCTTGTCTTCTTATTTGCTTCTTTTCTTTCTTTTCATTTCATTTTTGTTCTTTTGCCGTACATCGTTGCTGACTTTTGTTTTGTTTCAAATTGAAATGAGAGAATGAATATAATAAAAAGCCGTTCCCAACATCATCAATTTGATAATGTTATTCTTCACTTTACATTTTCTTCTCATTTTTACACGCTTTACCTGTCTATTTGTTTACTTTTTGTCAGTTTAGCTTGAACTCAATTTTTTTGACTATTTCTAAATATTTAATTGACTTCAGATTTTGTAGACATTCGTGCTTCAGGCGAATGTTGAACAATGCTCAGTAAATTTTATTAACAAGATGAGTTAATTATGATATTTTTGTAATTTAAAACGCGATATGAGAGTTCCAGGGAAAAATGTATAATCCATTGTAAATTATGAATATTCAAATTTCAGAATGTCGTTAAATTAACAGTAATTTCTTTGAACATATACTATGTTTGTAAAATATTTCTCATTCCACTTTTCACCTCTTTTTTTCATTTTGCAAATATAATATAAATATAAAAATATCAAGTGGAACCGAAATAACATAACCGCAACGATGGAAAAATATGAACCAACGGTAAAACATAGCAGCAATTCGAATCACAATCATCGGGGTCATGTGACAATGTCACATCATCAAAATAGAAATAATAGTAGTAATATTAACAATAATAGTAATAAGCCAAACCATCAATTCACATCAGCAAAAATGCACGATGACTATTTAAATGAAATTCATCATTTAGATTATGCGTATGCCTATTATGAGCCGGGAGTAGCAATGAGACATCAAAACATACCGGATTATTATGAAGAAGCCGGTCCGTCTCGTGCACCACCGCCAAACTCAATACGTGCACTACTCTCAACGGCACGACGCAATCATATGCAACGGACAAGTGGTAAATACGCAATACAAACAACAAATACATCACAACGCAGTCAAGAGAATGTGTATGAAGAGATTCGTGATAGTGAAAAGAGAAGAATGAGAACTGGCGATTCAATTGTATCATTAAATCAAAATATGGTTGAGGAGGAGTTTCGACGTGTTCATAATCGTCATCAGCGTGTTTTAGGTGAATTAAATCTTGATGTTGAAGAGATGCTCATGCCAGCGAGTATACCACAATCAACGGCTGTTAATTTTATACCAACAACCCCAATGCTCGATCCCTCCGATCCGATGGATTTTTTAGGGAACGGCGAGGTGAACGATGGATCAAATGGTGCTGGAAGTAATGATAATATTATTAATAATAGTCGAAGTAACTACAGTAATAATGTTAATAATAATATAGATCTTGATAGTGGATTTAGTGGATCTAACAGTAGTTACATAGGTAGTTTACGTTACCAAAAGACAAATGCTGCTGCCTTAAACAATAGCACCATTAAAACACCCACACAATTGTCAATCAGTCATCAACATACTGACAGTGGATCGTCATCATTCTACGGTGGCTCATCTGGCTCAACAACAGAAGCTACTGACGAAATTGTCATGACCTCACTGTGTCGTTCATCCTCGTCTTTATATGAGAGTGGGAAAAAGTCAAAGACATCAAAGTCATCATCATCATCACCATCAGCAATGAAATTTAATTCCACGGCAGTGCGTCAGGGCGTCAACGATAAGAGCGAGCGCACCTCATTCTGGAAAGTTAAAGGCCGGGGATGGATGAACAAATTGCCAGGCTTTTCGAGTACATCTAGCATCAATAAGATTGGAATGGGTAAGTAACAAAACTTTTTAAATTGAAAAACTTTTCTTCATGCTTTTCTCTCTGTTCATGTTGTTTATTACTACATGACGGTATATGCGGCGATTATGGTAGAAAAAAAAAAGATTTATTTGTACATCTATTCCCATTCTATATCTCGTGAATAAAACAAAATCATGTATGTATATATAGGAATACAATGTAGATGTCATCTCGCATCTAATCTCGAGGATGAATAAAAAGAAGTATCGAGAACAATGAATACAAAAGAAGTAACCATAAAAAATAGCTCTCTGTGCTTAGAGGAATAAAAAGATATAAACTAGAGGCAAGAACAAAAAAATGTATATTGCTCATCGTGAGCTATTGAAAATTCCACAAGCGGATTATATACGTGTCATGGGGAAAAAGGGAGTGAAGAATTTACACACGGTGCCGAGGCAAAATTCATGTGTAATGGTTCAGTGGTCTCTTTTTTTCGCATTTTTCCACAATTATGATGTTGACTTTGTCGTCATTTTGTTTTCATAAGCTAGTGGCTGTATAATTTATTCAATTTTATGTATTAGGCTATTTCAGACGATTTTTTAATGTGCTGTGCAATTTATTCTTTAATTTGGTGCTATCATGAATAATCAGTTTTTGTCAGAATACATCCTTTAATCTAGAGTTTTCAAGTTTTTTTTTTCTTGTCATCTTAGGAATCCTTAAAAATACAAGACTAATGAAATAGTTCCTAGTTGTCAAAACTAAATTCCCAAAAGCCTAAACCATTTCAATACAATAAAATCCCAAGACGATAGAATTGAATGCTTTAAATTCAAAAGATCCGTTAAAAAATATTTCTAAACTTCTCCATTGTTCTCAAACATTTAACGCATTATCATGCGAATTTTACAACATAATGAAAAACCCACAAAGTCAAGCACATGACAATGCGCTTCATTAATCAAATCAGAGTGATTCCCTTACGAATTTATCATATTTTTTTTAGCCGAAAATTGCTCATTTTTGCGGGCGTATAAAATTATGATTAATTCATGTATAAATTTTTGACATATATCGTGAAAAATTGCTGATGTAATACTGTTTTTGAAATATTGTACAACGGGTTGAATATTAAATGTTGGGACAGACAGATGAATTATTTTTTTTTTTCATGTATGAGTCGTTGCTACAGGAGAGGGATGATGTGAATGAGAGAAATAAATGCGATGACAATAAAAAATATTGAAAAAATTGAGAAGGGAAAGGCTTTTAGTTAAATAAAATGTCATGTTCCATAATATAAATTAATTTACTAAAAACTATTGTTTTAAATTAATTGAGTTGAGTTCGTCGTAAGCGGGTTATGTTCCCAAAAACATATGTCACAGAACATTGCGGAAGAGACAAATTGATTGAAATTAAATTAAATAGTTTAATTGTGATTGATTTTTGTTCATTTTCAATTTTCTCTCAATTGTCATTCGTACAGAATGGAGACATTTATGACAGAATTTCGTAATATAACCCACTCACTCGATCATAGTCGACTATCTAGTCAGCTATCTCACTAAACTATCAAGCCAGATGAGAAGAAAAAAAATTGTATAAAAATATATAAAAGTTGAAAAGCATATAAAAAATTATAATTGTAATAAAGTCATCGTTGCTTTTATTATTTTATGATCACGTTTATGGTCAAAAATATATATTTTTCTAAAAGAGTGGGGAAGAGTATAAAGAATAATAATGAAAATAGCATAAACGTTGGAAATAGATTGTATTATGTAGGCGCATTTGCCATGAAATAGCGGAAAGTCAAATTTTTTGATTACTGACTGATTTACCAATTAAATTTAAATGAGAATAAAGTTTTAAAACTCTTATAATCTCATTTAAAAATCTAATTAAAGAAAGATAGACAATATTAAGTTAGGTTTTAAATGCTTATTCACAATTATTTAAGAAATTAACAAGAATTTATGTAAATATTTGTAAACATTAATTAAATCCGCAATGAAATTAAAGAAATTAAGGTTATACACATAATTAAATCTGTAATTACAAGAGTATGTAGTCATAAAATGCAAAATATTATTTCATTTGTTTAATAAAAAAAGGATTTTAATTGTCTCGTAATGAAAAAATTAATTTTATAACAGACTTTGAGCTTAAATCGGTAAAGCAATTTTCCAGCAAGTAATTTAATTACTCAACCACAGAATCTAATTATTTTACCGCCTAGCCATACCAAACTGTTCGGGAATCTACATAATTTGAGAAAATAAAGTTTTAACAAGATGAGAATGCTCAAGTTATGGAATATCACGACCTTTTGTGTGTTTTTCTTCAGTTATTAGACAATAGGGATGTTCGGTCGAGAATCATAAATTTGATTTTTTTTTCCTCTTTATAACATTACCCAATGGCTTGCTCAAGCTTGCTTGTTCTTCCTATTCTCATTTTCATTTTTCAAAACTTTTCTTTTTTTTTCCTCTCGATATTATTTTTAATGAAAAAGTACAATGGAACTGTGTTTTTTATGTTCATTTCATAAACAACAGGAAAAAATTGCACTTATGCAGTGAGGAGTCTCCATTTCTCTCTCTATGCCACGTGAGGAATTTCATGCTTACAAGTAGTTTCTGTACATAACTTGATGTACTTAGCATATTTTAAACATGCATATACAAAGTTCTTGTCGTGTTTACAGCAATTTTTAACTTTTATTTTTCTCAACTCTCAAAGTGGTATTAAGGAATTTTTTCTGAGTAAAAAATGTTTTATTGCTTAAGCTTTATGGCTTTATTTGTCAAGGTGATTTTCATTGAAATTTCATAAAGTTTTATGATAAATTGCTCTTTTAAAAAAATAACACGATAATTTCACTGCTTAGAATTTATAATGTGAAGGCTTTTAATGGGAACAAGACATTTTGCTTAACAGCATGAGCGACAGCGAGAAATATTGTCGATCAATTAGGGTCATGCAAAAATTTTGACTATTTGAGTTTATGAAGTGATTTTACGAAATTATTGTGATTAATTTATTTTAAAAGTAAAATTAAATTTCACTAGTAACAGCCTTTAGAATTTTGTTAAATTTATCTTTCCAAAAATATAGCTTTTTTTAAAAATTTTAAAATAATTATAACTTTTTAGAATTAAAAAAACCAGAAAATCTCCAACAAACTTAAGCCTGATTTATTCTAAAACCACATTTTATTGATTCTAAATCTCAAAAATTCTCACGTCAACCACAAGGGAAAAAAAAATTCCCACTCGGCAACACAATAGAAAACATCAAGAAGAAAAGAAAAATAGTAGAAAAAGCTAAGAAAAATATAGAAAAATGGTCATAAAGATCGTTAACAGCAAAATTGTCTAGCGATAGCGAGTAAAATTTATTAATAATTGTACTTTATTAAGGTATTTTTTTTTCTTTTCTCTTCCTTTCTCTCTTAATTTTTCCTATTTAATTTAATTTTTTTTCTTTTCTTCTTCGTTATTGTTTCAAATTCATATCCACAATGTTCATGCTCTAGATTCAAGATGATGACTACATAGCTTTGCAAAAAAGAAACATATTACTCGCCTCTATCTACCTCGATTATGCCATTCATCCATGCATTAAAAAGAATAAGAATAAAAAATAGTTTTTGTTCACAAAATGTTTATTTAATAGTCGTACATTCATAGTGCAGAAATATGTTTATGTGAGTCAGAGGAGAAGAATAATAAAATGTCGAGTGGGAAATGCAAATTTTAAATTGTATAGCTTAGAGTGCATATTTAACCGATTGAAGCAGTTAAATGGAAAAGAGGGGGATTCTGGGATTTCGATAGGTACGGAATGTATATCTGAATATTTTTAAAACGGATTCTTAAAATACAAATTAAAATCGTTTAATCAAGAAAATTAATTTTCTCCACCTCAAAAAGTTTTTCTCAATTTATTCGAAATTAAAACCAGATTTAAATTAGTAAATTTATCAAATATTGAAGAAAAAAATGGCAAAAATTATTCAGAAGAAGTTTGACGTCGATAAGTGAGTCGATTACCAAGTTATGAGGAAATACTTGCGTAATCAAAAAGGTAAATTACTATCATTAATTTCGAAATGAACAAAATGAACCAAAAGTCTTCCCGTTTCCCAATCAAAAATTGTACCAAAAAAATATGTGAGTCAAGCAAAATGGCATTAAAAAGCATGGAGAAAAGGAGAATTTATTTGCATTATTCGTGAGTTGCATTTTTGCACCGCTATACAATTAGGTATCGTAATCATGATAAATTAATGCAAAAACGAGGCATTAAACGATTTTTCCTCCTCTTTTATTATTATTATTTTTGATGGTAAGAAAATAAATACGAGAAAAATTCTTTTGCAGCTGCATTGCCGGTTTTTCTTCTTTTAAAGTTCTCTTTACATTTCTTTTTTTTTTTTTGTTCTCCTCTTTAAATCATAAAACATGCTTTAAAGTGCTCGTTAACAAATTTGTGCGAAATTGCCTCGATTACCGCAAAGTGATTTTTATTTTCTTCATGGTATGAACTTTGTTTTTTTGTGTTCTTTTCTTTGCTCAATTTTCACTGCCTTAAGAAGTTAAAAATGAGGAACAAAAAACAAAGTAAATTAATGAATGAACTTCATGACACAAAAGAGCGTTTTTGACCGCATGAAAAAATATATTAAATTAAATAAACTTTCACATCGTTATGTTCTTTCATTCCTTTATTACATTAATTTTCTTAGTGCAATTTTAAGATAAGAATGCAATCTTTTTTTGTTCACTTTGTATTTCTGACGGCGAAGCGAGTTCACTTCAAATATCTTTTTACCTTAAAACTTTTGCCATTTAATAAACTCACATTCTCGGAATAAATTCCTCAAGTTCATTATCTGATTCTTAAAAAGTTCTTACAAAAGCATTCCAAAGTGAGCAATAAAAACAATAACATAACCTATAAAAAACTTTGAAATTTGAAATCTCGTAAAATGATATGAATTTAAGGTATCAAAACTTTAGCAACA